GGGCGGCGCAGGAGCACCTGCTAGAGCAGAGACTGGGACACACCCCTTTAGGTTAGGAGACATGAAAAAAATGAGTTGTATAGGCATTGGTATCAGTTCCTTCAGTCCCTACTAGAATCATTCATACCTTGAAGACAATTTCTGGTTTCTTTAGCTGTGTTTTAACTAATTATAAGTAATTACTCATACTGTGTCATGCTGTTTGCTTTGTTTTGTTCTAACTGAAAGTCATGTGGTGCTCTGCCAAATGCCTTACAGAATTAAGTGTGTTACATCTAAACAGCTACCTTTATCAAATAAACTTGTTACCTCCTCAAAGAATGCAACCAGGGTTGCGATTGTATTTATTTTCCATGAACCATATTGACTGGATTTTTTTTTATTCCTACCCTTTAATCTTTTTATGTTAATTAATATAACGGGATACTGGATTCAGTTACTTAGACTGCTGCCATTTTTTGGTTAATTGGATCATCACATCTTCTTTTCTTTTGAACATTGGAAGAAGTAGCAACTTCTAGCTGTGGGTGTTGTTGGTGCAGGTTGCCCCACCTTAGGTACACTACTGGGGCTGGGACATATGAAGCCATGTCATTAACTTGGTGGCAGGCTGCTTGGCATGCCTTTTAAGGGATATACCTTTATCCCAGACCTGGGAGTGGCCTTACCCTAGAGATAAGCTGATCAGCAAGGGGGCAGCCAGCAGCTGTGTGCCAGCCCTGGGGACCTCTCAAAAGCATGCAGTGCAGCCTGTATGCTGGGATGTTTAGAGCTGTACCACTGGGCATCACAATGCAGCTTTAAGTACCCTGGTGCACAGGGAGCTTGGGGTCACAATCCGTCTTCCCTCATGCTGGGACACTTAAAGCTATGCCATGCAGTCTGATGCTGTTGGGAGACTGTGTCTTAGACTCAGGGCTTTTCTCTTCTTGATCCTGCCGATCCAGAGAATGGATTCTCCAGTTCCAGGATGCCCTGGCAGATAGGGTACTCAGGATTTTTATGCTGGGTTCCTTGCCTGCTGGTCAAGAGAAAGGTGCACTGTGCAGCCTGGCACTGGGGAGCCAATGCTGGCCTACTTGCTGAGTCTTTTGAGGTCCAGCAACTGATCAGATACATGATGAGGATCTAAAGAATTTTATCCATGACAGCAATAATCATGCATCAGCAGCAGGATCCAGGATAAAATTCCTTAGATTCCATTGCATAAATAAATTAATATTTATTTAATTTATAAATACTTGGGCCTTGAGGCCAGGGCCTCAAGTTTAATGTTTCTTGGAGTTTCAAGATGTAATAGAATTCTAATACAACAGGTGGGAAATCTCTGTGGCCAGCTTTTAACAGCTCTTGATATTTAACAGTCCAAATTATCTAGACCTACAGATTTTAACATTTCTAATGTCTCTCAATTACACATGCTTTCTGACAAGAGTGTTGCCCCATTTCATTTGATAGTTGGTTGAACTCAGTACTGCGTTTTTAAGAGCTATATTAAGCTGTGCCTTGTTAGACCCCAGCTCCATGCAGCACCCAATGACTAGGGAGACAACAATTCAATTGCTCATGGATCCAGTTGCTCAGGGAGCAAACACAAACAAACATTGCTATCCAACAGCTTTATTCAGAATGGAGACAACTTTGGGCAAGCTCCCAAAAAAACAACAAACCGGGGAGCAGCAATGAACATTAGTTCTTTTCAGGTTTATACACCTTGGTTCATATTCGTTAACATTTACTCCACCTTTGCCCCTCCTTTGTTCCACCATATTTCCTCCTATCTCAAGCTCCGCCTCTGTTTACTGTTTACTTCATTAGCATGGTATTGCCCATGCATTTTATTCATTTACATGCCTTTTTGCTCGCATGCTCAAGACCGTGGACCCTGCTTCTCTCTGTCACTTGCTGTTTCTTGCTGACTCCAGCACCATCTCCAAGGTCTTGCTTCTGCTTTATCTCCTAATAATAGCTGGTGGGCTGCATCTTGTTCTTCTTACACAATGGACTATAAATCTACAACACTACTATATTGTTAGGAAAATGCTTGCCTAAGCGCCTTGCAATGTTACTTTTAATATATCATTCTGCCTTGTCAACAGCTTTGCTGAGACACAGATTAAAGCCTTTATTCAGCTGCAAATCCAGGGCTCCCCAAGATCCAAATATTGTCACCCTAACATGCTGCTTTTGACCCAAAGTATGGCAAGGAATGGAGGAGCTGTGAGCTGTTTTCAGCTGTTTCATACTGGAGAGGAACAGGCAGCTGCAGGCAGACCCTGACAGAAGACAGATAACAAAATGTCTGACAGCAGAGTGCAGCAAAATGGCAAATAGGTATGTCTATGTTGCCTATTATTCAGTGCTGGAGAGAGATACCCACACTAGTTTAAACTAGCAACCATATTGGCTATCTCATACTCCATACTTCAATTACTTTTCTCACTACTGTGAAAACAAACCCATTAACAGGAGGCAAAATAATTGTGGCCCAGTCTATGCTTATAAATTAGTAAAAATATTATCCTTAATGAAAAACTAACATTAGCCTTTATATTTAATGCTAATTACTCTTATTATCAGTGGTCTTTTCCCCGCTAGCTGATGATGCTGTCACGGCTATGGAAGGAGTTACATTCATTTTCTGTTTTACTTTTTTACAGGAAAGGGCAGGAAGAACAGGATTCTTAGGGGAGACACCTATGACTTCTATAAGCTGCCTCGCTTACATATCGGAAGAATGGAATATCATGGAATATTTGGAGACATGTTTATTTATGTGGTCATCTTAGTGGTTGTGGCTGTAATTTTAATTTTTCCTATAATACTCATCCTCTGGCTCTACTCTAATTGTATTTTTGCTGTAATTTATAAGAGGTTTGCTAAGATAAAGTCAAATCATTCTGATGATATCTGGGAAAGTGCAAGGAAAGCCTTCATATATTTCTGGGATTTGTATGGACGAATATGGCATGGTAAGTGAAACTTTATTAGCTTGCAACTCTAAATCTATTTTAATTAGGTAAATGACTCCAGTAGATAAACTTTAGGTGTCTTCAACTAACTGGAAAAACAGTACTATTTTTGCTAAGGGCAACAGAGTACACAAGAATCCCTGCCCCAAAAAGAGGTTACATCTTATGATACAAAAATGGAATGCACTGGGAAAGGCAGAGCCCATTTTATACAATCCATAATCTAAACTCTTTCTAAAAGTACCGTCAACCCTGACATAATACCCTAACCTGCCACAGGAAAAGCAGAGGAATCACAGCAGCCAATATCCTGCTTCCTTAAATGGTTGATAAAAAAACCACCCAAGACATCCAAAGTAGAGGGTCACACCTCCCCACTACAGAGGAAGGCAAAATCCTCCATAGTACATACCAATCTGATGATGGGATAAAATTCCTTTGTGACCTCAAATATGGTGATTGGTCTGACCCCGAGTGGAGGGGCAAGACCCTTTAGCCAGAAATCTCCAGCTTTGGTCCCAGTGGGAACATGGGCACACCCCAGTCAAAATCCCCAGCCTTGGCTGCAGCCAATGCCCAGTTTAAGCCCTCTGAAGAAGGCTTAAAACACCTGGACACAAGTAGTAGAAATGGGGGGAGATAGATTGCCAAATATAGCATTTGCTTGTTTCCGTACTAACAAAAATGACAGCTCTTCACTGTGCACTAAAATTTAACAGGAAATGGTTTATTAGGTTTTTATTTTTTTAAAACTGCAATTATCAATTTAGCTTTTATTTTTAAGATATTAACATTTGTGGAAGAGCTGTTTGGCAATAAAACATATACCTCATTTTAATCTGGCATGTTCCCAGTATTTTGAAATTTCATCAGTAAGGGACATATTTAATTTCCCAGGTAGATGATAACCCTGCTTGCCTTTCCTACAACTCCTCTCTTCCCCCTCCTTATGCAAATGTAGCTAAATTACATAAACTGAAAGATAGGATGCATACAGTAGAAATGCCAGCAAGTTTTTGTTTAATTTTATTTTGGTTTTCAGGTGGTTGGATGATTCAGTGAACTGATGATTAAATATGGACCCCTTTGAGAACTGATTATGTAATCACCATTTTTAGGATTAGGAGGCTCCAAGCTCATAAACTCAGAATCTGAACCCCACCCCAAACTCACTTTCCTTGCAGGCACAGAACAGTCTATTTCCAGCTCTCATTGACTATTGAAGCTGGAAGTAAGCAACTGGCAGAATCCTGTTTTAATTGCATACCCAAATAGCAGTTATTCAACCACCTCACTGTTTTTGACACACAAACCCAGCGTTCAGTCTTAATCCCCTGGCTCCTGGGCAACCTAAGCAGGCTCTGCATGTATAGCTGAGACCAAGTTTTGGTCCTCTGGCCTGACAAAAACCAGGAGGAGGAGGAAAGCCAGTCCATTCTTTAGCCTTGTGGACAGGGCACTTGTCTGGGAAGTGGGTGACCCAGGTCCTAGGCTCCTGTTCCTCTCACACCTGCATCTCTCTGACTTCACTGCCCAGCATAGTACTCTAACCACTAGTCCTGGGTCTCCCAGAGCATTCCTGGCCAGAACAAGGAGGGCTTGAATGGCATCCAGAGAATGCATTAGAGCCCTTCTTTATGAAGCTGAGCTCCCTGGGTGGTCAGGTGTGAGAGATTTGAAACCAGGAGAAAGTAAGCAAGATAGAAGGTGTGTGCCTTAGTGGGATGGATGTTGCTCTGTAAGGGAGAAGGCCCTGTGTTAGGTCCATGGTCTTGTTCCTGAGGGCAGAAAATTCTCTGCTGCTCTGTGTTCGTTTAGTGAATGCTAAATACCAAGTGCAATGGCTCAGCTTCAAGAGTAAAGCAAAATAGGATTCTGCAGAAGTCTTCTTGGTTTCTCCCTTTTATATTGTCCCTGTCCACTCCTTCCAGATCCCCCATAGGGCTCTTTATTTGTATATAGTCTGACTTTATTTGATTTTTAAAAACCAGTATAACAATTTCCTTTGCACTTCATCATCCAGAACCCGATTTTCCTGGGTTACTTTCCTTAATTTCACTGTAATGTTTTAGTTTTGAAAACAAATCTTCACAAAAGTCTGCCTTTATACCTGGCATAAATAATACTGAAGTTGCCAGTCTTGTCCTGGGTATAATCTAGTGTTGAGTATGTGACTCTCCAGAACTTTTTATTTCTGTTTTTCATACAAAGTAAACATCATACATCCTCTTGGGAGAAGGAACTGAGATCCAGAGTTCTCTTCCAAGAGAGCCTCTCAGTTTTAATGATAGCATTCAACTGCAGGGTAAATAACTATCCTGGCATGGGATTGTAAACCATCAGGCCTACCTATCCTGAGGTTACCTAGGTAAGCCAAGTCAGCTCTTTCTTGTGAAAAAAAAAGATGGATTTCTCCACCACATCATGCATGCTGCTCATCTGAAAAATGCTCAACTAGGAAGTAGGAGAGCATTTCTAACCCTTACTCTGGCATTCTTAGAGCATGGACTTGAACTATTAAATCTCACATTTTAGGAGTCTATTCTCACCACCCTAGCAGGGTATGCTGAGGCAATATCCTTTGGAAATGTGTGTTTGAAACCTTCATTTGAGACCTAACCTTGCTTTCCCCCCAAATAATTTATACTGATGTGAGAGATGGGGATAAATATTCAGTGGTTATTATGCTCACATGAATGCAGGAGTGTCAAGTTCGAGTCCAAGTCCCTAATCTAGAGCAAGGACTGGAGGCTGGTTCTGTTTCATAGATTTCATAGTCATTAGGGCTGGAAGGGACCTTGGAAGATCATCGAGTCCAGCCCCCTGCCTCTGTTACATTGCAAGTGAGTATTCTGACATTGAGTTGTTGGTATTCTGGTTGAGTGAAGGTCTTTTGGACAAAAAAGGGTTGCTTTTGAACTTAAAAACTCTCTCTAGTCTAAGATGGTATTTTAATGGTCTGCAGAAACATAATCCTAGAAAAGCATAAACAAAACCAGTCTGCATAAATAAATCTGCTCCTCCAGATTGGGGAGTGTGGTTTAAGTGGGGAAGCTGGGGTTTTTTTGTTAGAAATGTGGCATTCCTAGAAACCAGTGCATGGCACGTCAAGTATGAATATGGCTGCTGCTTATGTCTGTTCAGCTAACTGAAGGAGTGCAGTCCTGTGTTTACCCTCTTGTAGCTGAAACTATTGGGTGAAGCTTGTGCCCGAAACAGCAAGTAGCTGTTCATAGTATCTTGCTGCAGCTTGTGATGAAGAAACTCCTATATAAAGAACTACTTACAGTAAATAACTAAAAGTCTTGCTACTACCCTCTTCAAGGGTCTGGGGTAGGGGTGCACCAATAAAGATTTTTTTGGCCCATACCGATGGTCGATACCAATTGGCTGATACTAATCCAATAGCCTACCAGCAGGGTGCTCTCCCTGATAATGTAAATTTTCCCTTTAGGGACATTTTTCCCGTTATCAGTGCTGATCCAATATTGACAGAGACGTCAGTACACCTCTAGTTTGGGGCCTAATGTTGTCTGACAGCATAAATCCTCTTGGAAACAAAGTATCCATGAAGTGTGACATCACTGGAGAAATTCTGCAAAACGAGGAAGTTCCTCCTGATGCTTCACTTCCTTCATACTTGGCATTTCCAGGAGGACTCCATCATGCAGTTAGCCATGAATCTGCAGAAGTCTTTTTCTACATTCTGCCTTTCAAGAAGAGGCAAGGTTCCCATTTTATTTTGGGCATCTTGTACATGATAAAATATAGTACTTTCATCCAGCTTCGTGCTTTTCAATACTTAAGTCATGTTGAAGTGTCTGAATAACTTTGGTCATTCTATACTCAGCAGAGAAATCTCCAAATGCCTTTAAGAATCTGGGTCTGAATTCTTATGAAGTTACCAAGCATTGAAAATCCTTTTAGTTGCTGCTCTACACTGCTTGCTCCTTAATTTCACACTTCTTTCTAGCAAATAGCTTATATTCAAATTCCAAATCACCTAAAATTAACATTAATAAATTCTACTTTATGCTTCAAACAGGTTATGAGCTTCATGGCTTGGAAAACATACCAGAAGGACCATGTGTTATTACTTTTTATCATGGAGCTATTTCTATAGACCACATCATCTTTGTAGCTAGGTACTTTCTATTGACGCACAGATTGTGTGTGTCAGTAGTCCATCGTTATTTTTTTAAATTACCAGGTAAAATTATTTTTATTGTATATAGTTAAATACTTTCATGTATATAAAAGTATGTTTTGTTTTAGGGAAGTTTAGCATGTTCATTAGCACAGTTGTGTCCCTATACTGCATTTTGATAATGAAATGAGGAATGGGAGGAATGCAACACATATCTCACAAATCTGCATACAATTTTCACACACACAAGTCTCTCTCTCTCTCCCTTTTTGAGCTTCTAAAACTTTTGGGGTAGTGTCATTACCACTGATCATGTAGCAGGGAATTTCACTCAACTAGCTATGCAATAGAAAGGTGTAGAGTTAGCTTTTGCAGGTGGGCTTTGCAATGCTCCTTGAGGAACTCCTCAGTCAGTCCTCCCAAATAACACAGGCCTTAGGTACCACACAAAAAAACAAAGAAATGCCCCCCCAAAACAAGCCCTTCTGGTTCATCCTGGGCACCTGCGGAGAAGGCTTTAGTTCCCAGCACAGTAGTATGGCCTCTTCTGCCAGCAAACAGTCCCATTCACTGCAGCTCCCTCCTCTTGCATGCTCTCTTCTGGGAGCTGTTTAAGACTCCTAGCAGGACATGCATCTGGGGTCTTTTAACAGGGCTGTTCCCTCTTGAAGGGACAGACTGCCCCATTACAAAAGGTTTTGTCAGGAGCTTAATTGTTGCATTGCCTTCCTTTTCCTTTTGACTACAACAGCTTAACTTGACCTTGTTGCAGAGGCTGTGTTTTTATTGTGTACATTTTACATAAACAAATGTAATGTTTAGTGTGTTCATGTTTTAAAGGAAAACCAGAAATAGATATTAATTTATATTTAATGCAACTTGAACGGAGCAATTCCTGGAATATTTTATTTTTCCAATTTTACTTGCATTTAATAAAAATATATTTTTAATTTTTTTAAAAGAAAGGGAAAAGGAAGGGGAGAAGAATATAGGCATATACAAGTGTCAGGTTCTTTCCCATACTTCTCAGGATAAAGTGTAATGTCAGAAGTGCATAGCTTATACATTGCAGGGGTGTAGGTTGTAGCCATGTTGGTCTAAGGACACAGGCAGACAAGGTTCCTTGGGTGAATTTGATATCTTTTATTAGACCAACCCAAATAGTTGGAGAATAGTTATTAAGCAAGCTTTCGGGTTCAAAAACCCTTCGTCAGGCTAAGGAAGTTTCAGCAGTTGGTGTGTGCTCTTCCTGGATGGAATGAAAAGTAAAGAAGCCAGCGGGGGGGCGGGGAAGTCAGTTGCCAGGCAGATTATAATGTGTCAAAAATCCAATGTCTATGTTTAGTCCATGATCTCTAGTATCCAGGAGGTTGATGAAATGGAGTTCATAGGCTCATCTCTGGGAAGTGTCGTGTAAGTTTCCCTTGAAGATCAGGAGTAAGAGATTGGAGAGAGAGTGGCCCTCCTGTGAGAAATGTGCCCCCACCGGTAATTGGGTATTTCTGTCTTTGATAGCTGCACCTCCAGAAATGTACTATACCTCATCCAATGCACCAAATGCCCTGATGGAAAATATGTAGGCAAGACCAGACAACGACTGCGCACCAGAATGAACGTACACCGGAAATCTATCAAAGACAGGAATACCCAATTACCGGTGGGGGCACATTTCTCACAGGAGGGCCACTCTCTCTCCAATCTCTCAGTCCTGATCCTCAAAGGAAACTTACACAACACTTCCCAGAGACAAGCCTATGAGCTCCATTTCATCAACCTCCTGGATACTAGAGATCACAGACTAAATGTAGACATTGGATTTTTGACACATTATAATCTGCCTGGCAACTGACTTCCCAGCCCAGCCGCTGGCTTCTTTACTTTTCATTCCATCCAGGAAGAGCACACACCAACTGCTGAAACTTCCTTAGCCTGACGAAGGGTTTTTGAACTCGAAAGCTTGCTTAATAACTATTCTCCAACTATTTGGGTTGGTCTAATAAAAGATATCAAATTCACCCAAGGAACCTTGTTAGCTTATACATTGTTTTTCCTCCAACACATATTTCTTGGTCTTGTGTTCTAAGTAGCCACCAGACTTTTAGTAATGTTTTTATGTTACTATATTTGACTATATTTTTCTGTCATACAAAAGCTGTATATGTGGCATGATTTAAGTTCTAATAATTTTGTTGGTACATCTTTTTTACAGGTCTTCAATCATTGTTAGAAGCTTTTTCATCTATATCAGGTACAAAGGAAGAATGTATGAATGCACTAAAAAATGGCCGAGTGGTGGCTGTCGCACCAGGTGGTGCTCGAGAAGCACTCTTTAGTGATGAAACTTACAAACTTGTATGGGCTCATCATAAAGGCTTTGCTCAACTGGCTATAGATGCCAAAGTGGTGAGTAATACACCCGTAAGCATCAATCATTCCAATGGATATAAGGATATTGGCAGGCAACCAGTTACCACTAAGCGTAGAACAGAGGAGGCTTGGCTTTATTATGCATCAGCTGCTTTATAGTAAAAATTCTGTTGGGCATATGCTTTATCTGATTGGATGAGAGCTAAACCATATCAATTTAACCCTCTTCCTCTGAGATGTTGTCATCAGCTAACGCAGCTGTCCCTTTGACAGAATTTGTTGAGTGCCTTCTTATTTCAGACACCATGGGTATGTCCAGACATGCATGGATGTTTGGTTCCCTGGGGACAAGTAGCAGCACCACACTTTGCTTTGGCACGTGGCAAGTTAACTGGGTAGGGTAGGGGAGGCTGAGGCCAGCACTGCTAGCCCCAGAAGTCTTACCTGGGATCCTGGGGGCTTCCTAGGGCTGCAGCTGTGGTGATTCTGTTGTGTGGAGCCTGGCTAGCAAAAAAGCACGGCTCTGGGCAGGCCACCTACTCTTTTCAGCAGCGCACGCTAGCCAAGTGTGCATTGTGCCGGTTTTTTCTGCAGGTTTTTTCTGACCCCTGGATATCTTTTGTCTTCACTTACCTCTCACTTTTTTCATATTTGTGGGTGACCTCATACACATCCCGGACATGTCCAAACTGTGCTGTTGATGCTTTGTAGGAACTGTCCTTCCATACTGTAATGGGTTTGCCACCAGAGACAGCCAAGAGACCCCTGGTGGGCACACATCAACCATTCTCCCACTTCAGCTCCCCCTGTCCACAATGGGCAGCCTTCAGGGCAGCCTTCAGGTCACCTACCCTTAAAGCCCTTCTTTAGGTACTAGTCCCTGTCAACACTCCAGGCTACAGACCAGGCTGCATGTATGCTAGACCTTGAGCCTGCAGCTCAAGATGGCCAAGTACATCTCTGGTCTCTGCCACTTTCTCCCTGTCTTCCCTGGATCCTCAGACTGACCTCTTGGACCCTGCACTAGACCCTCAAACCACAGCCCCAAAATGCAGGGTCTCTTATTGATACCTTCTGTGGCAGCCCTAGGGCACCCTTTCATGGCTTCCTCCTCCCCTTTAAGCCACCCTAAACCTCACAGTTAAACAGACTTAAATAGACTCAAACAGAAGCAAAGACCTTATTTTTCTCCCTGTATACTGCTCCATGCTTCCTGCTTCTGTTGTAGAGATCTGGTCCATACTGTCTCTCTAGCCCCAGGCTCAGGCTTATATGGCCCCTTCCTTTTCTCCCTTCTGGTCACCTAATCTGGCTTGGTAGTAACAAAGCCCAGGTGCTGCTAACTCCCTAATCAGCAGCACAGCATTTTTCTGTCTGCGGTCTGAAAGTTTGGTCCTGCAGCCCATTTAACTGTACTGCTCATACCTGCTGCCCTTTGCACCTAGCCTAAGTTGCACTTGCTCTGTTTAAATAATACGGATTCTGCCACTTGCTATCTCCCTCTATACTACTGGCCTAACAGGGGTTTGGGGTCCCTTGTTACACCTACCCATGAAAAAGTCTCTCATTCATCTTTATGTTCATTTTTGCCCACTTGCATAAAATTTGGGGGTTTTTTTGTAACCATCAGTTTATATCTGTATATAAAATATTTTGACATTTTAGGGCAACCCTGTTCATATCCCCCTCCTTAGATAAATACACACACAATCAGTTTTATCACTGAGCAGAAACACACAGCTGATGACAATGCAATATTGGGAGCAGAGATTAATTATGTTGTAACTTAATATTTTTGATATGCATAAAATGTGGGGCCTAAACTTGTGTAACTGAGCTCTATAATGTGGCTTCTTAAAATTGTCAGCCTCCTAATACATTGATCACTTACAAAATCTTAGAATCATAAAAAAGTAGGACTGGAAGGGACCTCCATAGTTCATCTAGTCCAACCATCTGCCAGTGGCAGGATCATCTCCATCCAAACTGTCCTGTACAAATCCATTACCTAACCTCTTATCAAAACTACATAGTCAATCCTGACACCATCATAAGACCTAACCTGCCATAGGTAGAGCAGAGAGGCCAATGTGGCCATTGTGCTGCTGCAGCAAGGTTGATAAAATATGCTCTGAGATTAAAAGAAGAGGGCCACATCCCACATTGCAGAAGAAGGCAAAATCTACAATCTGTATGAGTCTGAAATGGGGTAAGAGTCTTTCCTGACCCCAAAAACAGGGACTGGTCTGACCCTGAATGGATGGGTGTAACGAGTGGGCTGTCCCTGGCCTGGGCCAGTCCAGATGTTGGCCTGCCCACTTGTCTCGGGCAGTCCACCCACCTGTCTCGCCTGTGAAGTAACCGAAGAGGGTCCTAGGCAAGATGCTTCCCATGAAATTGCCCTGATGCCAACGGTAAATACACAGCTCTGAACCTCCCCTTATACCATGTCCCATGTCCAGGAGCTGGCATCCATATCTATCATTACACCCCCAGCCCCTTAGCTGGGCTGCACTCAGCTTCACCCAGCCCAAATTCAATCTTGACCAGCTCTCCAATGTACATTTTCGAATAAGTGTGAATAATTCCTTAACTGGAAACAAGACTCCTAGGCAAGATCATATCCACTCTGGAAGTGTCTTAGAGTATAAACATATCTTCTTCTTTCTTGAAATAATTGGGTACATAGACAGAAGAGAAACATGGACTTTTTATTACATGTTCATTATTAAAGTCTTATCTTTTTTTTTTTCTCTTCCTCAGCCCATCATTCCAATGTACACTGAAAATATTCGGGAAGCATATAGGATGCCTAAGGAAAGGAGTAAGAAGCATTTAATATAATATATTTCTTTAGAGCATTTTTCACTTTCCCATCTCAAAATATGTATCCCAGAAATGTGTATTCTTCTTCTGAATGTTTGTGGTTTTGGTTTGTTCTCAATTTTGTGAAAAATAGAAAGTGTCCATGGGTTGTCAGACATAAACATGGATGTCTTAGATGAGACATGGGCTGCTGATAGACATTCTTTTAAAGGCATGATAGGATGTGATTCACATTTCCAAAAGTCATGCCTCCTGCCAAGCTACACATGTAGCAGGACATATGATATTGGGATCAGGGATCAGATCTCAGTTGCACCCTACTTGCCATGGCAAGGGGGGAGACTGGGATCATGGGCTGCATCTGTGCAGGCTGAACCCCCCTCCCCGCTTTGTGGTGATGAGCAGCCCTGATATGCCGATGCCCTGCCCATGCCATTACCCCTCACTCCCAAGCCACAGAACCCCATCCCTGTTGGTTCCCTTACTCCCCACCCACAGCCCCCACAGCCCTTCTGGTGCTCCTCACTTTCAACCCACAGCTTTCTGGTCCTGCTGGTGCCCCTCACTCCTGAACTGCTGCTCCTTACCCTGGCTGGTGACCCTCACTCCTCACCCACAGCCCCACCAGCCCTGCCAGTGCCCTTGGCTCCTGATCCACAGCCTTCTGGCCCTGCCGGTGCTCCTTCCTCCTGACTCACAGCCCGCTAGGCCCTTGCTGGTGCCCCTCCTAACCCACAGCTCCCTCTGCCTGCCAGTGCCCCTCACTGACCATCCACATCCCCTGCCCCCTCCAGTCTTGCTAGTGGGGGGCCCCCAGCTTCCAAGGCTATGGAGCCAGGGGCCCCTAGCAATGCCCTATTTCTGGCTGCCACCCATGGGAGGCAGTGGCAGCTGTGGCTAAAGCAGAGTGCAGTTCCCCTTCCCCCATGTGCAGCCCAGCTGGAGCAGAGCCTTTGGCAGGGGGAGCTGATGCAGGCTTCCTGCTGTAGGCTTGGGGCTCCCCGCCCTGCTGCCTTCCACCTGGGGGCCTCTATGGCCCAACAGGTGGGACCCAGCATGGGAAAGCAGAGTGGAGCAGGGAGGCTCAATGTCACCACCAGGAGTCCTTCACTGCCATGGCGAGGCACCCTCTACCCACCAGGCAGCAGCAGAGGGCACAACTCTGTGCCACCAACCCCACTGCTGCCAGGCAGGCATGGGGGACCTTGCCATGGAGGTGCAGGGCTCCCAGCCTCCCCACCCCACAGCCTGCAGCCATCCCTGCCCTGTGCAGAAATCTGGGGGACACGCGCCCCACACACTCCTCCCAGAAATGCACACAGTTGCAGGGAGCCCACGCCCCTGCAGTCTTGCTGGATGAGCTATCGATGCTCCATCCCATTCCCCAGCTAGGCCCTGTGGCTGCACATTCCTGCCCTGGACCCCAAGCTCCATGCCCCAAGTACCATCCCAGCTGGGCAACATTCCCAGCCCCAGCCTTACCCAATTCTCTCCCTCACTATGAGGGCCTCAATCCCAGCCTCCCAGACTTATCTGGGGGGAGCTGTGGGAGCTGCAGGAGCTGCTCTTCATGGTGCCTGGCTGCCATGTGCATGTGTCTGCATGCACATGCATGTGATGGTCCCTGCCTGATTGCACCCCTCATGTTCCCCCCCCAGTCTCTTACAGGCTGGAACTCAGGCTGCAAGATGAAACCAGCTGTTTCTCACATTTTTTTCCTATAAAGGAAAAAATATTATGTTTTTCTCCTTAAAAAGAGAATGTCCATGTTTTTCTCCTTAAAATGAGAAAATCTGCATTTTCCCATGGTGAACAGAAAACCCAGAACCCTAGTTATCAGGAGAATTAGCGAAAGGTGCTGCGAAGTATAAGAAGGTAAACCAGATCTGAGGAAATAAGGAGATAATCTCAAGCTTAGGCTTGTCCCAGCCTGGCTATTTCCCTGCCCCTCTGCAAGGGTTAAGCCTTGAACTAATAAATATGTTCATTTTTTAAATGAGGTGCCTTCAATTCACAAAAGTTAGGGAGGGGTGTCTTGAGTCTAAAAAGTTTGAGAGCCACTACACTAAAGCAAGAATTGTTGAATTGTAAAGGTACTGAAATGAAACTCAAGCCGGCTGCACAACACTGGATGCCAGCAGCCTTCGAGTTAAAATACCCAAACTAAAGCTTAAGAGGGTAAGTGAAATAATAGAATCTGATGAAGAGGGCTTTCATCTCTGAAAGCTGTTATGCTCTTTGAACCAGTTAATCTCAAAGGTAATAGTCTCTCCTGCCTTTTGATTGTGAGGGAAACATTGAGCTTTAGGTTATTTGGCAGTCCTGGTTTTTTGTTAAACTTAATATAAATTTAGTCCTCTAAAGCTGTGAGACTTTTTTTTTCTTTTAAACTAACACACAGGATTAACTAGGTGGTTATTTGAAATTATTCGATTGCCATTAATTCCACCATATGGAGGGCTTCCAGTCAAACTCCGTGCACATGTTGGAGAACCCATTCCATATAATCCAAATATAACTGCTGAGGAACTAGCTGAAAAGGTAGGTTTGTTCTTTTAGCAATATCAATTGCATTCTAATGTTGACCTTAATTTTCTCTTGCCTTCAAATGACTGTTACAAGTGCATGTATTTCATAGATTTCATATACATTAGGGCTGGAAGGGACCTCAGAAGACCACAAGGCCCAGCCCCTAGCCCCAGGGGCAGGAAGTCAGCAGGAGTCAAAGGACCCCAGCAAGATAAACGTCCAATTGACTCTTAAAGTAATCCAGAGTAGGTGCTTGCACCACCTCTGGTGGCAGTCTGTTCCAGGTCTTGGGGGCTCGGACTGTAAAGAAGTTCTTCCTTATGTCCAGCCTGAAATTGTCTTGGAGAAGTTTGTGTCTGTTTGACCTTGTCATCTCATGGGGCTCTCTGGTGAACAGGTGTTCCCCCAGATCTTGATATACACCCTTTATATACCTATAGGCAATGACCAGGTCCCCCCTGAGCCTGTGCTTTACCAGGCTGAAAAGTCCCGTAGCTGTCAGCCTCTTATCATAAGGTCTATTTTCCTGCCCTCTGATCATACACATGTCTATCCTCCGGACTCTCTCAAGCTTCTCCACATCCTTTTTAAACTGTGGAGCCCAGAATTGGATACAGTACTCCAGCTGTGGCCTCACTAAGGCTGAGTACAGTGGAAGGATGACATCCTGGCATTTGCTAGAGAAGCATCTATGGATGCAAGCCAGAGTTTTGGTTGTAGCCGGCTGCAACATCACATTGGTGGCTCATATTCATCTTGTGGTCAATCATGACCCCCAAGTCCCTTTCAGCTGTGGTGCTAGCAAGCATAGCACTGCTGAGCCTATAAGCATGCTGTGGGTTTTTCTTCCCAAGGTGGAGTACTTTGCATTTTTCAGAGTTGAAGGCCATCAGGTTTTCATCCACCCATTTTCCAAGCCTGTCAAGTTTGGCCTGGATCACCATCCTGTCCTCAGATGTGGACACTTTACCCCAAAGTTTGGTGTCATCAGCAAACTTGGCCAGTCCACTCCTGACATCAACATCCACATCATTAATGAAGATGTTGAAAACAATAGGCCCAAAGACGGAGCCTTGGGGAACCCCACTGGTCACGGCGCACCATGATGATTGACTTCCATCAACTACCGCTCTCTGGGTCCGACCTCAAAGCCAATTCCCCAGCCAGCAGACTGTGATGTAGCCGAGGCCGCAGTTGACCAATATTTCTTTAAGACAGTCGTGGGATACCAGATTGAAAGCTTTTTTAAAGTTGAGATATATGACGTCAATCTCTTCTCCCTTATTCAGGTGATATGTCACCTGGTCATAGAAAGAGATGAGATTGGTTAGGCAGGATCTACCCACAAAAAACTCGTGATAGCTATCCCTCAAGAAGTTGCCTTCAGCCAGTTTGTCAAGAATGGTCTCTTTGATGATTTTCTACAAGATCTTCCTGGGGATGGAGGTCAGGCTGATGGGCCTGTAGTTCTCTGGATCTACTTTCCTCCCTTTCTTGAAGACAGGCACCACATTGGCCTTCTTCCAATCCTCAGGCACTTTGCCTGAGCACCACGAGTTGTCGAAGATCCATGCCAGTGGCAGAGCTATGATGCTTGCCAGCTCCTTAAGTGCCCTGGGATGTAAGCTGTCTGGGCCAGCTGACTTGAAGGTGTCCTGCCTCTCAAGGTATTCCTTTACATGGTCAACATTGATGTTGGGTAATAGTTCTCCCTCACCCTAGCCATCCCATACCGTTTTGGGCAGGGCCATCCCTTGGGGCTGGTGAAAAACCAACTCAAAATATCTGTTGAGCAGTTTGGCTTTTTCCTGGGCGTTGGTTGTCAGTTAACCCATATGGTTTAGCAGGGGTCCAATGTTACCCTTGCTTTTCCTCTGGCGCCCCACATATCTAAAAAAGGACCTTTTATTGTCCTTGATATGCGTAGTCAGTTGGAGTTCAGTCACAGCCTTGGCTTTCCTGGTTTGCTCCCTACAGGTCCAGACCAGTGCAGAGTACTCCTCCTTTGGGGTGGATACAGCCTTCCATCCTTTATAGACCTTTCTTTTTAGATGCAGGAGGTCCGCTAGTTCCCTGAAGAGCCAAGAGGGCTGCTCTGCCCTTTTGCTGCCTTTTCTCCGTGACGGGATAGACATTGCTTGTGCTTTCAGGATCGCTCCCTTGAGGAGCATCCACTCTTCCTGACCTCCCCTCCCCTTTGGGTCATGGTCCCTTAGGGCCTCGCCAACAAGTGTCCTGAACTTGTTAAAGTCAGCTTTCCTTAAGTCAAGGACTTCTGCTTTGCTGACTGACTTGCCTGCTTTACGGTGGATGGTGAAGGTGATCAGCTCATGGTTGCTGTCTCCCAGCTTCCCTTCAATTGTTAGGTCACTGATTAAGTCATCCCCCATTGCCAGCACCAGGTTGAGCAGTGCTTTGCCTCTCGTTGGTCCATAGACTTCTTGAGTCAGATAGAGCTCATCCACATACATGAGGAAGCTTTGCGACCATTCAGATGTGGCCAAGTGCTCTTCCCATGAGATGTCAGGGTAGTTGAAATCTCCCATGACAACCATGCACTGGGAGTGTGCAGCCTCAACTAGTTCCCTGGCAAATTCCGGATCAAGCTCTTGATCCTGGCTAGGAGGTCTGTAGTAGACCCCCACCATTGTGTCCCCTGTGCCTTGTTTGCCATGGATTTTGACCCAGAGAGTCTCCAATCATCCCCCCTGGGTGCCAATGTCAGCTTGCAGGAACACATAGCTTTCCTTGACAGAGAGAGCTACCCGCCAGCCTCTTTTGCCCACAACAAGGTATAGCCATCTATACCTGTGGCCCAGTCATAGGTGGAGTCCCACCAGGTCTCTGTTATCCCTATGAGATCGTAATCCTTTTGGTTTAGCAGGAGGACCATTTCCTCCTGTTTGTTCCCCAGGCTCCTGGCACTGGTGTACAGGCACATAAGTATCCCACTGAGGGCCCTTGCCTTTCTTACAGATTACTCTGGGGCTGGGGTAGGGGTGGGTTCCCTTGAGTACCTTAGCCTGCTGTGTTTACAAAAACTGCCCAGTGGGCTTGCAGTGGTGGTACTCCCCCCATCCCCCAGTGGGCTCAGTTTGAAGCCCAGTTGAGCAGGTCAGCAAGTCTAGCTAAAAAAAGCCTCCTCCCCAGTGAAGTGAGGTGGAGGCTGTCTCTTCCCAGCAGCCCACTGCCTCCCTCACCAAAGAGCAGGCTGTGATCATGGAAGCTAAAGCCTTCACAATGACACTAGTGCCACAGTCTCTGGTTGACTACCTCAACCCATCTCTCCCTTCTCAGCTCATGACCCACAACCAGAAGGAGCAAGGAAAAGACCACCTGCACCCCCACCCCACTCCCAGAGCCCTGTAGTCTCTCATGACCTAATTGGGATTGCTCCGAGCTGTGTCATTCACGTTCACATGGATAAGGAGCATAGGGTAGTGGTTGGAGGGCTGGAGAATCTTTGGGATCCTCTCGGCTACGTCCCAGCTACAGGCCCCTGGGAAGTAGCAGACCTCCTGGGCTAGGGGATCAGGGCAGCAGATTGCCCCTTCAGTCCCACTCAGGAGGGAGTCTCCCATGACGAGCACTCTACGCTTCATCTTAGGGAGAGTAGGGGTGGATGATCCTCCCTTGCCTGCAGGAGCTGGCATCTCTGCTGGCTCTACTGGGGCTGCAAGAGGCTTGTACCTGTTGCAAAGCTCCAGAGGGGAGGGAACCTTGGTGCAGCAGGCCTTGGGGCCCTTGACCACCTTGGTCCAACCCCCTGGCTGAACAGTACGGGAGACCCCGGAGTCCTCCCTTGTCCTGGAAGGTGACTTTGGTCTACACTTTGCTTCCAGGGGGTGAAGGGCCTGGCAGTAGGAATCTATCTCCTGCTCGCCATCCCTGATGGCAAGTAGTCTCTGGACTGCAGCCTGGAACTTGCCTACCTGGTGCCCCAAAGACTCCAAAGTGCAGCAAACCCCACAAGGGGAGGTAGCCATGTTTCTGGTCCCAGGAGCCTGGAAATGTGCCAGGCAGCCCCCACAGCCAAGAGCCAGGGGCTCCGTCTGCATGGAGACATCTGAGATGCCAGAGGGGGAGGCTGCAGACTCCAAGGGGACCCTCAGGTTGCGGAGTGTGCCCATACACATCATGTCACTGGGAGGCCAGCTACTGATGGGACTAGCTTCCCTAGGACTCACTGGCAGGGCCTCGGGTCCTCCCACTCACCCTCCTGCACAAACTCCCGCACTAACTTGCACACTGGGCAGACAAGTGCACCTGTTTGCATGGCCTGTTCGCAAGGCTCCGGTTGCATGGCTCCCTGGGGGCCTGGGTGAAGTAGGAGCTGGGGCGGGGCAAGACCCTCCTCGGCTCCTCTCAGCTGCCTCCCTACAGCTGATCTATGCTAGCCCCTCCCTCCACGGGACCTGCTTACCTCTGGCTGTGCTGGGTTCAGCGGGGTGCTCTGCGGCTGCTGGGGATCGCTGGGGGGGGAGGGGGGGCTCCACATGCTGCTGGGGGTCACTGGAGGTCACTGGGGGGGCTTTGGGTACGGGGGTGCAACAGGCCTTCACCCATGTGTCTCACACCGCTCCCGGGGCCAAACATTTATGTCTTTATTTCTTTTTTTTGTTATGGAATTATCTTAGAGTTTGAATTATGGGATACATCAGGTCTGTCCCACTAGTGGCTCATGGGCTGTGTGTGGCCTGAGAGGGGTTAATTTGCTACTGCCCACCTCCTGCTCAGGTGCTGCTCCTCTTAGCACAGTGGAGGTTGCTGTCACTACGCTCACCAGGCTTCTCCTTCCTCTGTCAGCTTTTGTTTCCTGCCCCTGCCACTGGAGGAAGGTCAAGGCAAGAAATCACTCCTGTGGGACTAACAGAGCCCTAGTCTCAGGGTCCCTGTGCACAAGGGAGAGGCAACTGGTGTGGCATGGCAGAGCAAGGGGTGTCCATGCACTGCAGCAGCTCAGCACTTAGTGTGGTGGGAGACCCATTCAGGGTGTGGGCCCAAGGTCCCCT